ACATGATACTCAGTCATTTTTAAATTGTCATGTTCAGTTGAACAACCTATAATAGATAAACAGTATTTACACATACTTACAATCTAGATAATTTGTCTGTATATTAAATGAACTCTTATGTTTTAACAAAAATCATGAACCAGTCATGCTATATTACAAGAGCGGGGAAATTGGTTAATGAGTGATTTTAAGATGGATTTAGTATAATGAGTCAGTAATTGAATAATCATAAGACTTTGTAATATTTAAAGATGCAATACTCAGTCAAATTTGTCAAACATTTCATTGTAAAACAGTTTAAGAATTCAAACACACAAAATATTAATCTTGAGTAGAATTGAAAAAATGGTTTGAGTTGTGCTTTTTTTCGTGACGCGGCTGGATTTTTTAAAATCACACTTTAAAGGTCCTACATATACCATTAAAATAGTATTTTTGCCCGGAAGAGTCAAATGTGGTGGTACGTTAAAAAATTAGTGGTGGCTCATGGCTGCCGGAAGAGAAAAAAGCTAATATGTGGCACGGAAGGGGAAATAGTGGTGGCTCATGGCCGCCTGCCTTCCCCCGCTCACTACAAAGGATGCAAGCGACTTAGAAAATAAAAGTCCGAATGTGTTGGGTCGTCGTTTATTATTGAATACTCCCCGCAGCTTATTTTTTCTTTACCAAATCATTGAATATACCATTCACAAACTATTATCAAGATAGAAAAGCCAACTTCAAACCCTTCAGATCTTCAAAGTTAACCCTGTCCTGGCTGGGCTATATTGTCTAATATAGACTGGGGTGGGTGCTCCCCCTTATGATTTTGCCCTGATGAGTTGAAATAAGGGTGTGTTACATGTCCTAAGGCCTGCTCATTAAACAAACAAGAACTCTAACTTTAATCGTTATGGGTTGCAACTTTAAATGAGTTCAAAAAGTATGCCCTGTAGCTTAATTAATAAAAAAATTATAAAGTATTTCTGATTTTCTTGAAACACCGACCCCCGTTTGACTGCCCTCCACCCTATCCGTGCAGATAGGTTTAAAGGTTTAAAGTCTCATACTTTTTGCGAAACCCTGTACATTCAAGATTAAGCACTAAACACTGAGAGATGTGAAAATAGAACAGAAATGCAGAAAATCACTGATAAACAATTTATTTTGTTATTTTTCATAAATACGATTTTTAAAATCGTTTTTATCGAACGAAATTGAACGAAAATTTCGTGAAAATGAGGTCGAAAATTTTGTCAAAAATCCATCAAAGTTCGCGAAAATTTTAAACAAAAATAAACGAATTTCGTTCAACGAAAATTTCGGTGGAAACCCTACTTTTAATTTATCAAAATATCAAAATTATTAATTTATAATTCAAACTCAATGATATCTAAATTAAATTAAAATTAAACGCATACATTTAAAATGAATTTGACCAAAAGTTATAACTTTTGTGAATTTCGGGCTCAAGCATATTGATCTCCATCTTGTAAACCTATTCAAAATTAATCTAACTACTCTTTCATATCCTGTGGTGATCAGTAACCTGCAAGAATCTGTTAACTTTAGATTTCGATTCTTTTAAAATCTGATTCAAAAAAATATTTGAAAGGAATATGCTCATATATTAATATGGTTATTTAATAAAACGTTGTAGCAGCATTAATTTGAGTTTTAATGAAAGTTAAGAATGCTCGAGAACTATTTTAAACTTGTTTTCACGAATCCTTTCGAACAATTTAGAATAAACAAATTCCTTAAAACTGGAAGATAAAAAAGATGAAAAAGTAACATTAAGAGTTGACCTGATGATATTTTGATTGCTTGAAGATTAAATATTCGATAAACAATTCATGAGTTTTAAGCTCTGATGATCTTTAATTTTTTTTTTATATTCCATCCATGGCCTCATCCCTCACTCTTTCTCCTCCTCCCTCTCCTCATCCCCCTCTCCTTCTCCTCCTCCCTCCCCTCATCCCCCACTCCTTCTCCTCCTCCCTCCCCTCATCCCCCACTCCTTCTCCTCCTCCCTCCCCTCATCCCCCACTCCTTCTCCTCCTCCTCCTCCTCCCTACTACTCCTTACTTTCCAAAGCCTCTCATTGCCAATGCTTAAATCTGCAGTATTGCAAACTTATACAGCTGCACCCAGCAACAGTTTTTGTTGAGAAAATTCAACAAAAAAAAACTTAATCTCCATAAAGTTACTTTTCCGCAAGTTAATAGTTTCAAAATTATAACCAGGATAACAAATATAGAGTAAAGCCGCCAAATAAAAAAAAATTTATATATCTTTGTGAAAATGGTTACATAATTCATTACAAACATATACAGTGATAATTAGAAAGCTCTGAAATATGACGACGACTTTTAGAATCAAGTTATATTTTATTTAACATGAGACACAACATTTGTACAGTGCTAAAATACCTATTTTACTAAATTAGTGATTTGATATGTGTAACATCATCAAATATGCAAACACTTAAGTATTGCTTTTATGTTGCCGTCCTATACTATTGCTTTCTGTACTAACATTTATCTGCATGCAAACCAAGGATGTATAATAAGGTTAGTTACTCTCTATACGCTCCTATGTACGGAAAATGTCGTCTTCTAAAATAAAGAGAAAAATCTCAATATGACGTCACTGACTATAGAGTAGACATCATACTGAGTTTTTATCTATCTATCTTGGGTAACAACATTTTCGTAAATTGGAGAGCATCGAGAATTATTATACAACCTTGATTCAACCGCAGCATTTTCTAATATTAAAAATTGGAATTCGATGATTATATACTTCATATGTTTTAAAAAATCTAATTAGACCTCAACGCCAGTCTAAAAATAAATTATTAAACACCCTGTTTCTCTGAGATTTCTTTCATTAAAGTATTGAAATAATGCAATCTAAATGTCAAGTTTGGTCCGGTTGAAATTATAAATATCTATATTTAATCGACATGGGCAGCCTTAGTAAATTTAAATTTCCGAGCAGGGTCAACCTTTCCGGTTCCAGTTTGTACCGAACATTTGTTAAATAAAGCAAACACTCACTAGGACTAGCCGGTGCAACAAGGTTGACGCAGTCAGACATTTAGAAATACACTTACAGTACTTTTAACTGAAGGAACATAACAGTCGCCACAAACTCTAGTGTTTTATTCTTATAGCTTTGTAAAGTGATGGTCTACGTTACATTTAGCAGATTCTATAGTTTGAGATATCAATAAGGTCTTCAACATCAGGTTGAATAAGGAATAGAAAATTAGAATTTTTCGTCTCTGAACTATATGTAATTCACGCCTTTGAATACTTTTAACCCCTTCAATTCTTCTTGACATAGTCCAGGTGCTGCACAAGGTCACAATATTTACAGTGGTCAACGGAATAGGAATAAACTGTAGGTGTTCTAATTAAACCAAACTTTTTTTCGTGTGTAAAATCTTGAGATAATAAATCTATGAGGGAAAATCGGTCCCCTGAATACTTTCAAATTGCTATGTTTAACTAGGGTTTCCAACGCAAGTGGATTTTACTTGCGCGCAATTGCAGACCCTGTAATTTTCGCGCAATTCCACACAATTCCGCGCAATACGATAACACTTGCGCGCAATTCCGCACAGTTGCGCCCAATTCCGCACACCGGAATTCCGTTTGGAAACCCTAGTTTAAACCGCTCTTTTTCATTATTCATATATTTAGTGTTTAAATGTTGTCATTCATGGGCGCATAGTAATAATAAGTCGTTTTTAAAATTAAACTTATTATATACATGCTCCCCCTATTTTGACGAGTAATATATTTTTATGCTGCCCTATTAGTTTGGTGTCTAAGTTTAAAATATGAGGCAGTTATACTAGCATGGGAACCCATAATTGCCTTAAAGGGTGTGTAGAGAATAAATGAAAGGGGATGAAACATGAGAATCTCAGGCGTTAAACAATACTTATACGACATCTACCTGATGTTCCTGTCTCAAGAAATTGTTATAAAACTGTGTGTCTGTATTACTTCACCAGAACTTGTATACAAAATTGCGTATATATGAATTTTCATATAAATTTGACACAGTTTTATATCAATTTCAATTTCACCATAACAGAGTGTAATATTTATACATGCTCTCAATTAAAAGTTATTTAAATGTTGCCTTTAGTTCCAAGTGCAATGTATCAATATGATATATAGCATTAGTTCTGCGTGAATGAAGCCTAAAATACCTTATTATTAGCTAATAATTTGTATACTCTAGAGAACCTACTCAATGCATTTGTTAACTCAAATTGAAGTCTCTTGAGTACTTAAAGTTATAGTTGCAAAACTTTGTAAACTTAATATTTGGCAAAAAAAAAGTGACGTCATAAAACTTCACTTCATGAAGATTATTAGTTAATGTTGCTTTTAGCAAATATTACTTTAATCTAAAATAACGTCGGCAAACTTTGATTCAGTTCTAGATTTCTATTATTCTTAGACTCCAATGTTTATTGTTTATTTTACTCTGCAACAGAAATGAGCAATAATAATTCTAACTAAATAGTTTAATCATGCAAGTATTTTTTAACCTTTAAATATAAATAAATTTAATAGAGCCCTGATAAACTTTGATAAGCTTTATATTTGGAATTTTTATGAACAAAAGATTAAAATCTTTAAAAGAAGATGAACCTAAGTAACAACGAAATCATAAGAACCCTTACAAGCTCATTTAAACTATTGAGTCATTTAGTTCCCAATTCAGCAAATATAACCAGAAAAAATGTTTGCACTCCCCATAAGAATATAAAACTTCTGAAAAAATAATTTTTAAACGGGGGGAGAGCGGGGGAGAATGATTCTATGAGAAATACCACCCCTGAATTGTAAAAAACATATATACAAATCTGGAATACCAAAGATTTTTCCCCTCCTGATAACAATTGTTCAAGGGGACCTATTCAGACTCCCTGACAGACTCCAGGGAGCATTGAAAATTTTCAAACTATCCTCTTTAACTTGCCTTACATATTCCAGGTTGCATCTGCAGTGTGCTTAATTGCCTGTGTCAATGGTGGTCTTGTGAGCTATCCCAATGGTGCTGTAGTGCCCTATGACCCTGCCAACCAAGCTGCAACTGCTGCACATCTAGCCTCCAAGGGATATCTAGGATATGGAGCTGTTGGCTATAACGTCCATCCTGTTCATCAGATCTGGAAGAGATCTGCAGACCCTAGTCTAGTAGCTTATCCTAATGGAGCTCTTGTCCCCTATGATGGAGCTAACCAGGCTGCTACTGCTGCTCACCTTGCATACAAGGGACACCTCGGCTATGCTGGTGTTTATGGATACCCTGCTGTCCACCAAGTCTGGAAGCGTTCTGCTGATGCTGATGCTGATCCTCTTGTCTATGCCACTCCTTATGGATATCCGTACGGATATGGTGTACTTCCTGTCACTGGAGTTCCTCTAGTTGCCCATCCCAATGGTGCTGTTGTACCTCTGGAACCTGCTGCAGTAAGTTTTTCCAAAATTTTAAAATAGCCACAAAATTGCATTTTTTCTTCTCTTCTGACTATTCTGTGTAGTATAACGGCTAGGCTAGTTCAGACTTTTTTTAAAAAATTCATAGTTTGCTTAAATCATTCAAAATACCAACTTTTTAGAAATTTGTTTATTCTTAGCAAAAACTGAACCTTCTCTTTAGTTAATGATATTTTCCGTTTCTTAATTTAAAAGTTACCCTTTGAAAGGATCTTAATCTTATTTAAGACATTAACAGAAGATTTTTAGAATCTTTTAAGGAGCCAGCTGTTAAACAGACGTCAGCTAGGCGTTAACAATTATTTCATGCAAAAATGCAGGGAACATTATGAGACTACAATTTTCAGCTTTAAATTGGTTAATTGATTCTATTTTATCCTGATTCCCTAAAAACTTATAGAAGAAACACTTCTAGTTAGTCATTGATATCCTTAAACTTATTAATAGGTTGTCCAGGCTCGTGCTGAACATCTTGCTGCTAAGTTTGGAGCTCACTAAGAGTATTCTGTTCTAAAATAGTCTGAAAATGGTTGATGCACAATATGAATTAGTTCTCTATTGTGCATTATGAACTGTTTTTTTAGTGTACACCTGCAACTGGTTTTTCACTCTGAGCATACAGTATATTGGTGTCGGGTGGGTAAAGGATCTTCAATGTACAAATCTTTAAATGAAATAAATCTGATGAACAATCTGGTTTTTTTAAAATTAATTATTGTTCTTAATTTGTGTATGTTTTTGCATTAAAAAAGTCAAACTGTATAAAAGTTTCTCTTGTGTTTTAGCCACAACATTTTAGAATTTAATCAAAAAGTTGGAATTTCTATTTATATTCAGGAAGAGTTTAGTAATAGTAGAAAGTTAACTAAACAAGCATGACAAATTCATTTTTTTTCTAAAAAAATTGAAAATAAAAAAATTAAGCAAAATAGAGAGAACTTTTACAACAAATCGTTCCTGTACATTTGTTATTTCTCAGTTTGTTAATTGAAATGAATGCTAGTTTTTAAGAATAGCAATCATTCGAAATATCTCTTTGTTGACTCTAAAATTGTTCGTTTCGAAAAATTATAAGTTCAGATTTTTTTTTCATTTATTAATATCGTTCGTTCGAAAAAATTATTTGTTTATTAAGGTTATGTTAGGTAACAGGTTAGGCTGGCGCGCTTTCAAACACATTTTAAAACCTTTGAGGAATAGAAGGGAGATATAACTGACGCAGTTCGTCATTATTCAAAATATGGTATTGTATACGCATTAAATGTACATCAAACAAATATTTCATATACAAATGGAGTACCAGTCTGCAAAGCATGTATAATAATATGGTAGGGCGAACCGCGTCAGTTGTATCTCCCTTCTATTCCTTACTCCCTGGTTGTTCTACATTTGCTCGTACAGTGAAATTATATCGGAAAAGAAAAGACAACACAGAGATATCTATACTTCACGGTTTTTTTAGGCCAGTAAACCTTCAAGTAAAACTTAACAAAAGTTTAATATTGTTGTAGAGCCACAACATTTTAGAATTTAATCAAAAAGTTGGAATTTCTATTTATATTCAGGAAGAGTTTAGTGATGGATAGAGGGTTGACTAAACAAATATAAAAACAATTTTTATCCAAAGATATTGCAAGATGAAATGCTCTAAATATTATTTCAACAGAAAACCATAAAAATAAAGAAAAATTCAACCTTTTCCTTCGTCACGCAATCTAAAAGTGAAATGTAGATTTATTATCAAACCAAATCTGAGAAATCTAAAGAAAAACTTTAAAGGGACTGTAAACATTAATTGAACTGAACCTCATTTGTAAAAGGCAAATTCGATTCATAACGGTACATTTTTTTAGCATAAATGAGTTTGTCTAGCTAAAAATTGACTATTGATTCAAATGTGAATTCTCTGTGAAAGTATATAGCTTTTTCTGAGAACATTTTCTCTTTGTATACATTGTGAAGCACTAACAAAAAATATTCGAGGATTTTATAAAAAAAAAATTGTGGACTTTCAAAGCTTAATGGAAGTCGAATTTTTGAAATTTTGATAATCCATAAACCATCCCTGGGGTCATGGGAGGTCCCACGCAAATTTGGGACCGATCGCAAAATTTGGGCCAGTTTGACGTTAATCGGTCACATAAAAGAAACAGACAAGCAAAGTATATATAACTCAGATCAAGGTTAGTACCATTGTAAATTGAACATCCCACTCTTGTGTAAATTACTTCCAGGGTTACCCACAAAAAATGCGACTGTAAAGACGATCCAAAACTCTAAAAATATGACAATTTGAAGCTTGCTTTTTGGTTTCTATTCTCAATTGAGTATTTTCATGGTTTACTAAATGATAAAGCACAGAAATAAGCAAAGGAACCCCACATGCAAGGAAACCGACTAAATAAATTCCATAAAATCGTCTCTGAAGTCTCATCCTTTCTGGGTAACCCTGTTAGTTCAGCCATTACGCAAGCTATAACAAACACATAAATATATTTATATTAGCTAATGGTTTTATTTTTTATTTGAATTGAAAATATTTTGATTTTACCCGAATAATTAGCCTAAACAAGCTCACAACATCTTGCTGCATCACTGGTCAGTCAGCAATATGGATAATTTAAAAAAACAAACTTTTAAATAATACTATAGACTTGAAAAGAAACTAGTAGTAAAAAGCCAAGATTGAGTGGAATAACGAAGCATTGATGTACACAAAACTATATTTACATTTTAACGATACAAATAGTTAGTTGGACCAACTATAATTGATCTAAATAACGCAACATTTGCCTGTAGCAAATACATTCCTAATCGACCCTTCTGATCCGATACTTTGTGAGAACTGGCTTACTCTTGGAGCATAAGATGGCCGATCAAATTGCTTTCTACCTCGGGTATAGAAATACCGTTTTACTCCTTTCACCACCATTGATCCTGCCCTAGCTCCGCCCTTTAATGGTACCAACTTGATATCTACCAGATAAGAAAGGGTTCAATTGTGGCGGAAGACGATCTGAGTCTGAGCCGGATATGAGGACGCGGCAAGAAGAGCATCAATTCTGCCACATCACCCATCTATATATATTTTTCGATAATCTAAATTTATGAATCAAGATATATTTAGTTAATAAAGTATTTATTTTAACCTGGGTCTCGTTATATTGAGCGTAGCTGAACAATATTCTTTTGGGTCTAGTCTGTTGGATAATCAGGCTGCACACATACTGAGAGTTTAATACCCTTTTGGGCTTGGGTTAGATTATTAGGCTGTATTCTTGGGTTAGATTGTAAAACTTTATTTTTAGCTTAGGAGCAATGAATTGTAAAGTACTATATACAAGATCCCTTAGGTTGGGTTCACAATACATCTTTGTGAGCTTATACAGTGTGTTCCACAAAACTTTTTCGAGCCACCTTTCACAGTAAAAAAACCTGAAATGAAATGTATTCACTTAAATAATCAATGAATATCCTTACATCATACAGTAGATCCCATGCAACAGTGGAATTTGAAGACAACATTTTATACAATTTGATGTTGTGTATTTGATGTTGTTTTAAAGCAAATGTTTGTACCAGTATATAGATTAAAAATCCCATTACTACATTATTTATTTCAGTACATTGGACAATGTAAAATCCTAACTTGAATCAAACAGTAGGGATGGGCAAAGTTCCATCAACGTAACGGAGGTTTTTGAAAATTAACGAAAGAGTACATTAATGAACAGCAAAAACTGTTAACTTTTAAACTGTTATAAAAAACGGATTAGCTGGTTTTAAAGAAAAAATGAACGGTTGAAAACGAAAACGGAACAATTTTTTAATTGCGAATTTAGTTTTTTTAAATTGCATTAAATTTGTAAAAAAAAATGTTTTTAAAGTGTTTTGATGTTTTTTTTCTTCTGCTGTGTTCACAACTTTGAATGTTGAGATTGAGATCGCAGTACCTTTAAATTTAGATTTAAAAAATTTGGAGGTTGTCCAGCCGTGCAAGAATCTGGGTTCTCCTTTAGGATAAATAAAGTTGATTTGGATATCCAGATACTAGTCAGTCCGTGCAGAGAAGGTTAAATACTAGTCCCGTTAATGATTTGACAAACTGTTAACACCGTTAGTACTACAAAAGACCGTTAACGGATGCAATGTTAAAGATTGCTTTTCTTTAACGAATTTTTTTTGACACTTTACGACTGTTCAACATTTTCCGTTCATTTCATGAGATCGTTAATTAACGGTAGTTCAAAAAAAAACAAATCGTAAATGTCATTAAAGAAAGAATTGTTTCGTTCTTAACTTTAAAATTAACGTCTACCCGAAATTTTTCTTTTTCAACTGTTGGAACTAACCGTACCGTTAAAGAAACGGCTATACAAAGTTGGAACGTGCCCATTCCTAGAAAAAAGCTAAAAAATAAATGGATGTCCTCGTTCTATTTAATTTCAAAAATATATATTCAAATTTTGAGGTTGATTAATATTTAAATTAATCAAATTTAAAAATGTGCCAAAAAATTTATTTTTAAATTAAGCTTGAAATTGTGCGTTTAAATTGCTTGAAAATAAGTGTCCATGTGATGTCAAAATTCAGAAGTAAAAAATAAATATTTTTAAACATTTTTCCGGCGTACTTTTTGAACTAACTCAACCAAGGGCAAATGTATTAACCCCCCCCCCCCCCCGATAGATTGGGGGCATCTCTATTACAAAAAAATATCCCCGAAGGAATAGGGTTAAAGAAATTAGAGAAAGCTACCGAACTTTGAAGAAAAAGAGAAAAATATTCCTATCGAAAGAGAGACAGGGTTTACTGATGGGCCGGCTTATCCAAGAAAATACAGTAAATAAAATGTTAATTTTCTTCCATTTCTTGAATTCAATGTATCTTTTATTATCATGTTGCTCTGAATATTGTTGGGATTTAGTATAGTTAGGATGTATAAGCTTGCTTTAGGATTTTAAATTTATTTAAACATTTTCATTTTTCGGTTCAGTTCAGTTTCTATATATAGACTATATGTTTCCAGATTTTATAGAATTTACAGGGTGTCCCTAAACAAAAAGAAAGAAAGGGTTAAAAGTAAAAAGTTTTCATTTTATAAATCCTCCCTATTGAGGCCTCTTCTATAATCCCTTCGTCAAATAAGTGTGAAAGTTGCTTTTGAAATCAAATTTAAAAATCCATTTGTCACATGTAACTTTAACCATAGGCATATTCAAGGGGGTGGGGTTTAGGGCCCACCCATGACCAATGAAATATATGAACAAATTCCTGAATACGCCCCTGCTTGAAACAAATGAAGTTTTTAAAAATATATTAACGTTTATATAGTGACGGCAATTTAACGTTGTTCGACGAAACTTGCGGATAGTTCACATAGTTCTCATGTTTATAGTTCCCCCTGTATAACAATGACACATAGTTCTCATGTTTACAGTTCCTCTGTATAACAATGACACATAGTTCTCATGTTTATAGTTCCCCTGTATAACAATGACACATAGTTCTCATGTTTACAGTTCCCCTGTATACCAATGACACATAGTTCTCATGTTTATAGTTCCCCTATATAACAAGTACATATAGTTCTCATGTTTATAGTTCCCCTGTATAACAATGACACATAGTTCTCATGTTTATTGTTCCCCTGTATAACAAGTACATATAGTTCTCATGTTTATAGTTCCCCTGTT